GATGTGTATGTGTATGTGTGTGTATATATATAAATAATAGATTAGATCAGATCAAATCAGAACAAGAATTTCTTCAATAAAAAAGGAGACATGCTTATCCTCAATGAGATTTGGATTATAAATAGAACTTAGAGCAAAATCAATATATACATATACATATATATATACACATACACTTGCATATGTAGATGAACAAACTTAGACATGGAATCAGACGGGGAAGAGCCGGTGCCGGTGAGGGGGAAGACACGATGTCGGAGACAGATTGGGAAAGAAGCGGAAGAGCCGATGCTGTCAATTCTTAGGAGAAGAAAGAGAGAAGATAGTGAAGGAAGGAGAAGGCCGCCGATTGGGCTATTAGGATAAGGTTTCAGGGTTTTAACATTTATGGTATTTATATAGTATAAGCTAGTTTGGTAATTATAATAACAAAGGCAAGGGTATCTTAGTAACTTCACACTTAATCGGGGTGGGTTTACCCCATCCCCGGCCCCGGCCCTGGCCCCGACCCCGGTAGGGATTCATAATTCTCCCCCATCCCCATCCCCGTTTAGCTAAAAGGATCCTTATCCCCGCTATAAACGGGGCGGGGCTGGGACCCGGCAGGGATGGAGAATTTGCCATCCCTATTCATCTTCTTTTATCACGATGTTCCCAAAGTTATGAGAAACCATCTGAATTTTGGACAATTTCACTTTTGAAGTTCCTTTATGAGTAACTTGCAAAATATTCCAAGCTTCTTTACCAGTTTTACAATCAGAAATTCTAGCATATTCATATGGAACAACAAAATTAATAATTACATATAAAGCTTTGCCATTAGCATCATTACGCTCAGTTGCAATAGCAGTAAAAGCAAAAGCATCTTTTAAGACCTTGACTTCTTTTTACCATCTATAGTTTTATCTTCTCTAGGTGGTGAATAGCCAGATTCAACAATAGCCCAAGTTTTACAACTTGAATTTTGTAAATAGGCTTTCATATTTGATTTCAAAAAATTGTAATTATATCTTTCAAACAAAGGACCACGTTAATTAGAACCGCCTTCTTTCAACGCATAAGACATGGTTAAAAACCAATTTTTGAAATCAAAGCAAAACTTTCCAACAAGGATCAACTCAATATGTGGAGATTGGCTTTAATACCAATTTGTGAGTTGTACGCAACGGAATATTTAGAAAGTTTTGAAGTTTTAAAAACAGATCTTATGTTTTTCTAACTTTCTTTATTTTAGCAATTAATAAATTAATATCATGCAATATAAAATAAAGCAAAGTAAAAGTTAGAGATGACACCAAGATTTTTAGCTTGGAAACCCCAGTTGATAAAATACATCAACTATTTGCGTGGGAAAAACCTCGTGGACTGTGCAGTCCAAAATAAATCGATCCACTATGCTTGAAACAAAATGCACTGAACTTTGACTCTGGCTCACACCCTATCGTTCTACCAAACACCAATTGCTGACAATCCTCTGGCTTTGCGACTCTCCGTCCAACAGCAACTTGACCTTAGGTTTATGCTTAATCATTGTAAAAGAGTAGTAGGTAGATCAGACAGCACTCCTCGAATGCTCCAACCCTTTCAAAGTGTGATCGCTTTTACTTCTGTTCTTGAACTTCTGAATTCAATGTAGAAGTAGATCTGCTTTTGTCTGATCGATGTAGACGCAACTGTATGATCACGATCAGGATTCGAACAACACAATTCTAAAATCACTATGTGAATATGTGTGTGTTCTAGAAAGACAAACAAAAAAATCTCTAAGATTTTTTGAGATAAAAATCTTCCTAAGGCTTTTAAAAATAATAAACTGATAATGTAAAAGCCGTGAATAAACATATGTGTATGACAAGGTTTATATAGAGTTTAGAATGTCCTAGTCTCTCTGAAAATATGGAAAAATTCATGTATAGGACTTGGTACAATCTTAAACCAACTAGGAAAGAAATTAGGAAAAAGAAACTGAAAACTGTATTGTGAACAAGACTCCTTGAACCGGTTCAGGGGGGCTGAACCAGTTCAAGTATGGCAGAAGTTTATTTCGAGGCCAACTGAAGACCTTGAACCGGTTCAGAGGGGCCTTCTGAACTAGTTCAAGTATGCCAGACTTGAATTTCCTGGTTCACTAAGGCTGAAAACACTATATGGTAAGATTTTGAAATAAATACCAAGTGTAGAATGTATCTTAACCTTTTAAAATTCCTTCCTAATGTGTTGTTCTTACCTGTCTCGAATAATCTCGGTTATGGTAACTTGGAATAATCTTTCAATTCTGCAGTCGCTGTCGATCCTGATATAGTAACTTCTAATTACAACTCGACAGGGACTTGTTTTGTTTTCAATAATTGCCAATTACAAAATAATATCTCATAATACTAACTGTAACCGATCGGGTGCTTCGCGATCCGACCCAAAAGCTTAAATTGTTAGGTGGTGATAACACCCAACTCATTAATTTTCCATCCGAATCCGATGCATTGTGGCTCGGGCCACCCTGCCTACTGGGGTAGAGGCTCAAACACCTTCTTGCAAGGCGCTTGGCGTAAAACTGGATTAATGATTGGATCTGGCTCTGATAACATATACAATATAAAAGAATTGGTATATTATATTATATTGCATATGAAGTTATGAACCGTATAATAATGTCCTATATATAGGAAAAAGTTAAGAGTAGGGAAGTGGTGAACAAATAACCTATAAATAATAATTCGGTGATATAATCGATCATATGGATTTTCTTCGTTGTGGAGCCTTTCTTGGACAGCCAAAGGATTATTCCAAAAGCTACCATCTTTGATAGTTTGATGAGGTACTTCCTTACTACATGTTCTGCTCTTTGTCATTGAATAAAGAACCAAATATTATATCTCAACAATGCTGCTTAATTTTTCATGAACTAATGTTGGGAGGTCCCAAGCCAGGGTTAACAAACATTTCTCCAAGAAACTTTTAACACCAAACTGTTTTGGCTCACAACCATACCACAAAAAATTTCTAACGAGTAGTTCCAATTGTGATGACTTTAGCAGGGAAAATGAAACATATGGGACAAAAAAAGGACGGAATGTTGAGAAAGGATACACAATAATAATTTATATTATACAATTAAATCACTAGACTTTTCCAATCCTTTCACATGTATCATACATTCATATATATATATATAGAAAGAATTGGAAAAGTTGTGAACATATATGTATGTATGTATACATGTATACACATATTTTCTTCTCACAATGATTTAGAATCATGATTGCATTGTTGTGGAATATTATTATTTTTGAGAATCCGGGCTCATGCATTAGTCCTTTCTGCATTTTATCAGAATGCTTCTGCACAAAATGCGTATTCATTTGTTTGGTAGGTTGCATAAAATGTGGGTTGTCTAAAATTTAACTTCTTCATATTAAGTGCACATTTTTCTTCATAATCGGCCATAATTCATGTACAGTTGCATTTTTCAGGCAGTAGGTTGAAGATGGATCATACTATAGTGGCTAAAAATTGCAGGTTTTGTGGGACATACAAGAAAGGAAAAAAAATTGTTGGACAAGAAAAACTAATTTTACAAACTGTCTTACTGTAACTATGCAAATTATCAAGAGTGTCAACAAACCAACAAACTAAAGCATAGGTCAGGATTTCAAATAAATTTGTTTTGTACCCTAGTAGATCTAAATGATCATGACTCGTTAGACATAATATATATGGTACTACTAGAGGTTGTGACTAGACCATATTTAGAACCCACAACTGTGACTCAATGTTTCATATGTAAATAAAGGGTCCATTAAGCATCATTATGTTTGTATTGATTGCCTTCTCATAGAATATAGATGTAGGTCCAATCATTTTCATATATAACGTCCTTTATATATATATATATATATCTCTCTCTCTCTCTATATATATATATAAAGGATAACTATCATCATTAGCAGCTAAAGGGAATGGCTGGTTTAATTTGGCTAAGCAAGGAAATTAAGGACAGGAAAAAAAGATTTTAATATATGGTACCATTTGCTTGCATGTGGGGTAACAAAAGCACTTCAAATGATAAAGATTATACACTAACTCGACAATGCATGTTGGTGATATCATTTTCTCTCTTGCTTTCCTCTCCCAATAATTCTATACATCACCTTCAATTTCTTTGATATTTCATGTAAATATATATTAAGGAAAAATAATTAAATAAGTAATTATATGTAAGGACCATCACTCTAATCAGACACAATATTATCCGTTTTTGGCTCACTGGGATTAGAGACTTCCTAAGGGTCACCCGTCCTGATACTACTTCAAGTTAAGCAAACTTAACTCTGGAGTTCTGGTAAGTTCACAGCCATCACGGTTTTAAAATGCGTTGTGTTATAGAAGGGTGTTGAATCTACATATAATACTTGTCCCATCCATACCGAGGTGATGTGGGATTGTGCACCTATAGCTCGCCCAGTGTGGTAGCCTGCCAGTGCCTCGCACCCACCCATGCACACCCGCCCACATTGGGTTGCCACAATCACCCCCTTTGGGGCCCAACGTCTCCGTTGGCCACACTTCCGGCTGGGTCAGACTCTGTAATTTTCCATCATGGTTAAAGTTTGTTACACTATTGGATTTCAGTTCAATCATTATGGCCGATCTTCGATCTGAAAACTGATTTCACTGATGAAGTTTCATCTGCAGGATTGATTTGGTCACGTTAGCCTTTGAGTCGAGTCTCTAAAGAATTTTAGTTTGCCCTATTTCGATTAAAATCGAATTTTTTACGAATTTTTGATTGGGCACTTCGCAAAATTTTGTTCCAACCAGGATTGCTGTCCCAATTTCTTTTTATATCATAATTTATCGCGCTTTATAAACTTAGGGCGTGACATTATATGTGAAGAATGAAAAATTCAAAGTCATAGGATTTTAAGGTCACATATATTAGTGGAGGACACTTTTAAGGTGAATTTGGCATGTACCCTTGCCTATATAATGAGCGTTCCAAGGGGGGCCAAGTAGTAAACAATTCCTAGTTTCCAATCTTTCCCTAGGCTTCTTCCATTGAAGAATTCTAGTTTTATACTTTTCTTTTAGCTTTCATCAAGCTCTCTTTTTCATTGAATCTTGAAGCTATTTATGGTTTGTTTCTCTAGTCCTTAATAGTCTTTTTGTAGATGGTCAATTCTATATCAAAGGGTTTTCCATGAAATTCAATATAATTTTTCATTAAATGATATTTTAAATTTTGCAAACAGGAGGAGAAGATGAGTCGGTCCATCGCCAACGCGATAGACTACAAGGGCTTCCCAGCTGACAAGTCGAAAACTGGTGGTTGGGTGCCTGCTGCTCTGATCTTAGGTATATGTTACACAATTAGCTTTTCAAGTTATATATATATGTGTGTGTGTGTGTGTGTGTGTGTGTGTGTGTGTGTTCACTTTGCACATATATATGCTCCATTTTGCATCTGCAACCAAGAAGCTCCTTTCAGTGTATTAGAGCTCTATTTATCAAGTGTGCAAAATTGTTCCGCAGTTGACTCAATTCAATCACACCCTTGATCAAGAAATTTAAGAAATTGAACTGCAAAGTTTGGAAATATTGATTTAAATAACCATTTTATAATTATGAGTTTTGAATATTCTTTAAGTACTTCTATTGCACTAGAAATTAATTTTTATTTTCCATTTGTTCATAGCTTCATCATTGCCACTATCAGGCCAAATGGTATCAATAGACGAGTACATTGGATAATGTTCGGATCAATCCACCCTCATAACATGAAAAAAGAACAACAAAATCCATGTACAACAACAATAAGTACTGCGCGCATAAAAGTAAAAAAAAAAACAATAATATACACAACTTTTTTCATAAAGAGATTTATAAACAATTTTCACTAAATTATAGAATTTCACAGGCATTGAATTTTGTGAGAGGCTTTCAACAATGGGTATAGCAGTAAATCTGGTGACATACTTGATTGGAACCATGCATCTCTCAAGTGCCACTTCTGCAAACATTGTCACAGATTTCATGGGAACCTCTTTCCTCCTGTGCTTGGTTGGTGGCTTCCTTGCAGACACTTTCTTAGGCAGATATAAAACCATTGCCATTTTTGCACTTGTTCAAACCCTTGTAAGCATAGCATTCCAATACATTTACATACTATTAGTGTAGTCACTTTGATTAACATTCTATTTATATATTTTTCTTATATATATGTATATATGTTGCTCACAATGATATATATAATTCAGGGTACATGTATGCTAGCCATATCAACTAGGCTTCCACAGGTTCGTCCACCTCCTTGCGAGGGTAATCCAACAAACACATGTAAAAAAGCGAGCACGTTTCAGATGGGGATTCTGTATATATCTTTATATCTTATAGCACTGGGGACTGGTGGTCTAAAATCAAGTGTTTCAGGTTTCGGAACTGACCAGTTTGATGAGAATGATGAAAAGGAAAAGGCCCAAATGGCCTATTTCTTTAACAGGTTCTTCTTCTTCATTAGCATAGGGACTTTGATAGCTGTCACAGTACTTGTTTACATACAAGATGAAGTCGGACGAAGCTGGGCTTATGGAATCTGTTCTGTATCTATGTTCATTGCCATCTTGATATTTTTATCAGGGACTAAACTGTACAGGTACAAGAAAAGCTTGGGAAGTCCCATAGTCCACATTCTTCAAGTCATCGTAGCGGCTACAAGGAAGAGGAGGTTGCAAGTTCTTAATAAATATGACAAGGGTTTAGTGCTGTATGAAGATTATCCAGAGTCTTCAAGAATCCGTCATACAGATCAGTTTCGGTACGTTAGTGTGTGTGTTTATACACATCTATATATATATATATAATTTCTTGCAAACTTTGGTTATTCCTATTTTTATCTATAAAATTGATATTAAGACATTGAAGTCATAATAATAATTTCCACTCTAAGATCAAAAGTGCTACTTTGATTTGATTACAAATTGACCCCTCAAGGATGACCCTTCTAGAGTAGGGATATTTGTTTCAATATGACATGATTTATGCTTGTTTTTGTTGCAAAAGATCTGTGCCATGATTCTGCTCACCATTTTTGCATGTGTCACATGTGTATATATATATATATATATTTTCCTAGTTGGTACTCACGCACACTTATCTCTTCTAAGACTTGAACCCTTAACCTTCCTTTGGGAGATAAGAGGCTGATACCGCTAGGCCACTGACCCGTTGATCACATGTATATATATATATATATATATACATGTATATAATCATGGTGCAGTTTTAAATCATGTGGACTTGAGTATTTTCTTCTTCGTTTTTATAAAAAATTATTCTAATAAAAAGAACTCACAGTAGAATTTTTATGCTAGGTGTTGTAATTAGGTAATAATTCCATTTGTGCGCGCTTTGACTAATTTCTTCTACAGTTTCTTGGACAAGGCTGCTATTGTGACAGATGAAGACTACGGATCGAATGGGTCAGTGGCTCCGAATCATTGGAAGCTATGTCCAGTGACAAGAGTAGAGGAGGTGAAAATGGTGATCAAACTACTACCAATATGGGCTACAACAATCATATTTTGGACCACATATGCACAGATGATCACATTTTCAGTTGAACAAGCTTCTACCATGGAGAGAACTATTGGGGGTTTCCAAATTCCTGCTGGCTCTCTCACTGTCTTCTTTGTTGCAGCCATTTTGATCACTTTGGCAGTTTATGATCGTTTGATTATGCCTCTTTGGAAATCATGGAAAGGGAAACCAGGTACTCTAACAACCTAGTTGTCTAACACTATATAAAGATTGAAGGATTAATTGGGAGGAAAGGAAAGGAAAGAAAAAGAGGGATATACAGACTAAATAGTAGTGTTTGGTTTAAAAATTAGTAAGGAAAGAAAAAGAAATAGGAAGGAGAATGAATGATACATAGGAGAAAAAATGTTCGACTTATTTATCTTTCCAAAACATGATAGAAATATTGACTGTGTGTTTTCCACCATTTCTTTTTAGCAAGTAAAAACTTATTAATTAATTTGCCTTAACCACTCACAAAATAAAACAACTATTTTTATTTTATTTTATTTATTTATTTATTTTCACTATCTTTTCTAAGTACAATGAAGTGATCCTGTCAATATTTCTTTTGTTTAACACTATCCTCTTTTTACTTTTGTTACCTACTTTTTAAAACTATAGAACATTAAGTCATATATGAATTCATCTAATAAAGCAATTGAAATTAGTCCCTCTCTCTCTTAGTTTATTCAGTATCTATTTTAGGATATAAAGAAAAGAAAATAAGTAAACTAACACAATTTTTATTCAGAATTTTATCCAAAATAATGTGGGAATATAATTATTGAATTCACAAGGCTAAATGGTCTTTTGTAAATAAGTCTCATCATATACTCAGTGTGAAAATTATGTACATATACTTTTTGTTTGTAGAACATTAATTATAACCCTCCAATAATGGATTAAACCTTGGAAATAATATCAGTTTGGCTTGTTAAATATTTGGAACAGGTTTCACCTATTTACAAAGAATAGCCATAGGTCTCTTCCTCTCCACAGTGGGCATGGCAGCTGCAGCACTCGTGGAGGTGAAGCGTTTATCGGTGGCAAGAGCAGCCGGTACTCAAAGTACTACTTCAACACTACCCATAACTGTCTTCCTTCTGATCCCACAGTTCTTCTTGGTTGGCTCCGGTGAAGCATTCATATACACCGGACAACTGGATTTCTTCATAACACAGTCACCAAAAGGGATGAAAACAATGAGCACTGGCCTCTTCCTCACAACCCTTTCGCTTGGTTTCTTCGTTAGTAGCTTCATTGTATCAGTCGTGAAGAGAGTGACCAGAAATGGTGATGGACAAGGATGGGTTGGGGATAACATCAACAATGGCAGACTTGATTGCTTTTATGGACTGGTAACCATATTAAGCTTCATTAATTTTGGATTGTATCTTCTTTGTGCTGCATGGTACAAGCCACAAACAGGTAGACAAAAGGAAGATATGCAAATGGAGTGTGCTGTTAAAAGTTCCTTGGATGAGGAGTGCTAGAGTGATAGTGATTAGTTTGGAACTACATGTTTAATTTGCTGGTTTTCTCTACTGTTAATTTAACCATGTATAGAGTTGGTGACATAGTTAGATTAACTATGTTTATATCATGGGGCTAAACCTTTTCTTTTCCCTTTTCTGTTAAGCCAAGTTATATAATTCTTCTCAATGGTTGCCGCTCTCATGCTTTGAGCGTACTCACTCTCTCGCTCCCATTACAATTTTATGTGACTTAAATTTTGCTGCTTTCACTCTGTTTGATTTAGCTCTTAAGGGCCCTTCTATTCGCGTTGACGTTGGCTAGGCCAATACATACGATAGTATGCGAAATCCACCTCAACTGTGCTGGTCCCAACACATTGGACCCTATATGTATCGGCCCTAGCTGAAGTTGTTGTGAAAAATCTTTCTTTTTTCAAGGATCGGACAATAACGAATTATCTTTTTGAAATTTACATTTTGTATCCTTTGTGCAATATTTTCTTTTTTGCATTGTAGAAAAAAATATGAAAAATAAATGGTTGCGATGGTCTTGTTATTTTGTTGCTATTTTGTTATGCCCATCTGCTTAGCGTACTTTATAATCTACCACTTGACTGGATGCTTAAGACACAGTTATGAAAAAGAAAAGGAAAGACAAAAAAACATATGAAGCAAAGTAGCACCACACTATTTGGTTAGGAAGGAGAATAGAGGGGGAATTCTGAAAATCATCCCCATCTTCCACACTTTGGTTAATTTAGTTAAGACAGAAAATATGATAATGAAATGATACTCAAGAGAGATAATACATTTGTTATAAAGTATAAAACGAAAGCAGAGAGATAAATAAAACTAGTAGAACACACAGATACGTAGTTCAATCACTAGAGCCTACATTCACGGCACAAAGAGCCCAAAGGGCTACATCACTTTTATAATACTCTCTCAATTCATATACAATACAATGGTGGATGCTCTTTTATATATTATGAGAATAAAAAGAATTAAAAAATAAGAAACAAGGAGAATTTTTCTTCACTAATTCCGTCATTAAATCTTCAATAACATTATTAGACCCAAAGCCATAGAAAATATCATCTCAAAATTTAAGGTTATCTGCAATGATTTTTGAAATAAGTATGAGTTGTTTGATTTAATTATCTAAAAACAACTTTCAAGAATTTCAAAAAAAATGGAAGAACTAATTTCATATTCATTAGAGAAATGTTTTGTAAAATTATCAATGAGATGAATTCAAGAAATGTTTCGATTCTCACAAAACGCAACATAAATTTAGACTTAATAATATATATAATTTGTGAGTTATTATACATATCTAAATATCAAATTATTTTAGAGTCTAGAGTTAACAATGGGTGAATTGTTTCTTTGTAATGGAAAGAAAAAAACAAGTACAAAGTAAACAAAGGAAAATTTAACCTATATCGGAATATTTTCTTGAGGTACAGAGCCTCAGAATAGGTTTTCAACTTTTCATGCATATGGTAGATTATGCAAAGTAGTGAGACATTTTGGCTAAGATATGGTGCCTTAATTGAAAATTAACCTAGATCCATAACCCTATACAGTAAATGATTACTGTAAAAGTCCGCCACATCTTTTGTCCTATTTTTCTTAAAAGACTAGAATTTGAGAATCACACCTTTTGTATCAGATTTCTTCATAAAAAGTATTTATGTTGTCCACACGTCACTGCAACAATTCCAATTCCTCACTAAAGCTTTACCTTTATCCTTGAATATTACATCACATCATCATTACGTTTTATACAGGCCCAACAATGAAATCTATCACGCATAAATAAACTTTTTCTTTGTAAAGGAAGTTTATGAACTCTGATGTGAGGGAAAAACGAGAGAGCTCTCCAATAACTAAAGGCCGACCACTAGGTAATGGTGACAAACTTAATTTCAAACCTAGCATAATCTTTATCAATTATCATCCAATCTTATTAAGACATTTTCAGCCTAAAGCAAAACTCAATAAGGCAGTTTTTATGTTTAATCTATTAATAAAAATAAAAATAATAATTCTATGTATTATATATTATGTTTAATCTCTTGGAATGTGCTCACACTAAAAAATTAGAGAGAATCATTTTAATTAATATGTTAAACCAACAAAGAAATCTTACTAGTGTACCACATAAAATATAAAATAAAAAATTTGTTTGGACATCTTTCGGAATGAAAGATTTTAGATAATCATCTTAATTGTTTTAAAATAAAAAATAAAAAAAATTGTTTGGACATCTTTCGGAACGAAAGATTTTAGATAATCATATTAATTGTTTTAAGGTGTAGCTGACCTGATAGTACTATTAAACACACCTTCACAAGTATAGGATTAAATTAATATATCTATAAATTAGATAACTTGTTTATTTATAAGAGCCATGATATATTCTTCGAAAATAGAAGATCCGAAGAGAAATAGATTCCATCAGATCCATTAGATATATTAGATTCTATATTAACTACTTTTAAAAAACGGAATCCAATCCATCCTTTGGATGTATTGAATTAAGAACACTATATTGGTCCTCCATTTGGAGGACAAATCATTATTCTTTCTATAATGTTACCTCTTCTGTATCCTCTTCAGATTCCTCATATCTTATATGGGTACCCTTGGTGGTACAAATGTGATGACAATACGTACAATTCCTCATATCTTATATGGGTACCTTGGTGGTACAAATGTTAGATGAAAATACAATGACAATAATGTAAGTATGTGGTCAAATAATAGTAGAATGATTTCATTTGGCTGGATCCTTGTTAACCAATTGAAGGGAAGTTGTGGGATTCTAATAAGTAATGCATCAAAGATGGTCATAGATCTCATTATTACTAATTAATTGAAGGGATGGATGATTATGCATAATAAACAGCATCACCACAAATTAAAAGTCGGCACAACATGTCAATTAGTCCCAACAATCACTAGTATAAAGTGGAGAAAGCATGTCAAATCAACCCCATCATGCTTAGTACACATGGTGTCCAACTAAGGTAAGAAATTTGAGTGAAATTCAAATTCCATCCATTCTAGAAGCATCAATTGTATATAGCTTGAGAATTGATATTTTTATGGAGAATGGAGTTTTTGTTTTTCAATTGATGCATTTTGTGACATGATCTTGCGCCAAAATTTTGTTTTTATGGAATTTAGAAATAGGAGAATGTTATTTGTTTGGTTTGTCACTCAAAAAATACTTTATGTTTAATCTCTTGGAATGTGCTCACACTAGAAAATTAGAGAGAATCATTTTCATTAATATATTTGTAGATGTCTAAAATTTGTGATAGACTAATCACCGTCGGATTAGTCAAGAAGTCAAATATTATTGATTAATCAAATTTCTTGATTGCGAGTCTCCTTAATGGACACGTGTCAAAATCTTAAACATTCAGACCTTTAAAGAAAAGTTTGGTTAAATTCAAATTAATTCAGATTCAAATTTGAATTTACTACAAGAAATTAGGGTTTTAGGGACAGTCGAAACTATCCCTAAAAGCTCTGAAACCGTCCCTAAAAGTCAAATTGGTCCGTCACTAAAAGTAGTGTGACAAAAGATTTTTAGGGACGGTCAAAGTTGACCGTGACAAATAATTTAGACCTTTAGGAACAGTCCGAACTGTCCTAAATAACACCGTCCCTAAAATTTATTAGGGACGGTATATACTGTCACTAATAAAGTATAAATTAGGGACAGTTTTATAGACTGTCCCCAATACATATAGTATTAGGGACGGATGGACTGTCCCTAATACATTATTTTTTAATTATAATTATTGTATTAGGAACGGATAGACTGTCCCTAATACATTATTTTTAATTGTTTTTTTTTTAATGCTTGATTTGTGGGTTTAACCATTCCGGATACATTAATATTATTACATGCAAAACATAAACAAAATAGATCCACAATAACATTCAGAAAGCTATTACTAGCCATCAAACAAAATAAATCCACAATAAAATTTAAGATCCATAAAATTTCCAATTTCTAAACAAAAACAAAAAGCATCTGCTAGCACAAAAAATAATTCCATCATCTTCAAACAAGATGCAAAGTCATCAATATGTAGCCTAAAAAAGATAAAGAGTAGAAATCAACTAAAAGCTCCAAAATTTGTGTACCAAAATATTCAGCAAGAATGCTCAAATGTCTTTAATACTCAATTAACTAAAGAAAAGAAAATCAAATTGGTCATTCAGGTGGTTGTGGCAATGGTGCTGACTGCCGCTGAAAGATGAACAATTGAGCTTCCCTTCATAAGATGATTGTACTTGCAATCAAATCCATATTTGCAGCTCTTAGTGCTAATGAAATATTGGCATTCAGGTTGATTAGGTCGTTCAGGTAGATGAAGAACTGATGTAGACAACATATGCAACTGTCCACGGGAACCTGAATCACCTTGATTCTTGGAGTTGTAAATAACATTGGGTGCAAGAACACTACTAGAAGATGGCTCATGCTTCACTGATTGAAATTGTAAACATGAATTAGAAATACAATAAATGACACTTAAATTAACTAAAAAAAAAAGCCTCAATCCCAACTAATTACAGTAAGTGATAATTTTGTAGACTTCCAGAGATAATTGAACCAAACCATCCCCAATATATAATGTAATAATTAAACCTGCAGTTTCCTTTTACATCAAAATTGTTAAAGAAGACATAAGTATACTTCTAAATAGGTAGATCCTTACTGACTCCCTGGCGTAGACAAGAACCATGAAAAGAACTGCAACAATCCATTTTTGCTATATAAATCTGGTCTCATTGAGAATAAAGATAAGATACACATAAAGATGAATCAAATATCTGGATCATATAAAAATTTCACAAGGTAAATTGTAGAAGTGCTGGTACTCCAAAAACTGCCAATAATGTGACTCATCCAAGCAATAAATTTTGTTCCAGATTTAAAATAAATAAAAAAACATGGAACAAGATCAAATTTAAGTGAAATATAAATAGAACTTAAACATTAAGAACTGAAGGGACCAGCAAAGAAAACTATAAATGAAGGCTCCACGATAACTTTGTATTTTATAATGTTGAAGCAATTGCCAAGTAGACGAAAGTACAAACAATTCTTTTTCTGGAAAGAAGTACTAAGAGTTTTGTTTACATATGTAAAATTAAACAATAATGATAGCTGAGTAAACTTAAACTTATTTAACAGGAAACATTTCAATCACTCAATTGTTTTATAGGTGCCTATATGTTCAATAACACAAGGCAACAAAAAAGTGGGAGCAGGAGTTCTGGAGTGAAGTTAAGTTGACTACAACATCAACTGCACTTTGTTGGACCAAATATGAGGCAGCAAAACACATGCTAATACAAGGAGCACAACAAAAATATAAATACTAAGAAAATTGTGTAGTAAGACAAAGAAAATAAAAAAAAAAATTAGATCATTCAATTAGGGCTCATCCCAAATAAAAGGTTCTAAAGACCTGATTAAGGAAGATAAAAGCATAATAAGGGAACAATAATTGTTCTGAATTTATTTTCTGCCCTTCATTCTTAAAGTTTATTTCTAGAAGTATGCCTATCTTACAATATATAATAGGAAGATGATCTATTCCCAAATGTCACTCTGTGTTTATTCAAGAATGGTCCTAATCTATATATCAGAAAGTTAAAAGGCTATTAATTACAATACAACCTTAGCTATTTGACATTAGTACTCATTACATTTACATTTTTTAAATTCCGCAAATTATATATATATTTTTTTAACCAAAATAAACATTAGAGTTACATCAGAGTTACCAATAATAATTCTTAAACAAGTAATAGAAAAGCAAAATAGAGGGTAAACATCAAAGTCACCCTTTAATTCAGACTCTACAATCAAGGCAAAGAGATTGGCTGCCACATTTATCCCTTCTGGTGAAAGTAATATATTTTGACCAGTAGTACACAATGGCTGCGGATGAATGGCAAAACTTTGAGTTTATGAGCTGCTATTGGACAAGTAGAGGAAGAAAAATGTACTTAATAAAGCAACTGTCATATTGTTCAAACCTCATCTTACACCAATAATACTTGATAATATTTGCCCATAATAACAATCCTTCTAATGCAGAATGAGGATTTGAAAAAAAATAACCATCAAGCTACCCTACGATTCTTTCCAAATATACAGATAAATAAAGGAATGAAAGTGTTTTCAGAATTGCCATGCACATGTGACAAGATACTGAAAAAGTAATTAATGGAACATATAACCCAAGAAGTGCCGCCTAGGTATCTAATAAAATATCACGTGCCACCCAACTCCATGTCTCCTTTTCAGTGTAATTTACCATAAGAACTTTTTTAACTTCACACATCAAGCCAGCCAACAGGCTAAGAGTGCTAAAAGGGCTAAACATCAAGGTAAAGAGTTAACTTGTGTAAAATTGTGAACAAAATAAATTATGTCATAAAAGGACATTGTAATGTGAATGCAACTGTAATTAATAAAAAACATTAAATTAAAGATATATATTGAAGGGCCACAAGAGAATATTACAAAGCAAACCGTATAGATTTCAAGAGTTGGTCAAACATAAGGGAATTAGTTACAGTTGCTATTGACAGAAGTGCACGGCAACCATCAAGCATCTCACTGAACATAACAAAATAACATGTAAGACATCAAAGGACAAGTAAACACAGAAAGAGGGTTGGGACTATAGGAATACAACCTTTCATTTTTTCCACAATCAATTGCTTTTGAAATGGCATCAGGAGGATCAATCCACTAAATAATTCCACATAGCAGTTACCTAAGGTGCTGCTCTTGCATACGCCCATTATCTAGATTTAAAACATTATAATTAGTAATTATAGGAGACAATATATATTAATAACCATGTATATTTTATTTTGGATCCAATAGAGAAAAATCCCATACAATATGGGTATTGGTCACTTTCTAACTATTTTACAGGGCGTGGTATTAATTGTGGAGACCTAGACCTAGACGCTGTATGCAAATCTTTAAACCTGATAACTTCATAAATCTCAGCTTAAACCCTAAAAACGCATAATTTCATAAATTCGTCCTTCAATAGTGATCGAATAAAAAGTAATTGACGGATTGAAATCAATATAATAGCATATATATTATAAATAACACTGACGGTTGGATCATGAGAATATAATGTTTGAAGGGTGTTTTGACTGTTCAGGAGAAAATCAGGCGATCTAATTAAACAGAACATGCAATAGTGATTGAAAAGGAAACTTACAGATTAGGGTTTGGAAACCAAAGTCTTCAACCCAAAATTAAGACTTATAGATAAGTCTCTTTCTCTGTGTGTCGTCGCTGGCAAAGAGAGACCAATTTATGAGGAGGAGAAGAGGGATGAAGAGAGGGTGTTTCTTATTAATCCAAATGAGTCTTTGAAAGATAATACCTCACCAATTATCAATATGGATGATCATTTGAATGTGTTTCAAGAACACAACAAAGAGGCAAGCCTAACCATGATTGATTTTGTTTTCAAGACCGTGGATGAGAGGAACAATATCATCTCTTTTATTTCTTTTCAAGTCATTCTTTTGGAGGATGATTTTATTGTCATAAGTGGGACATTAAATGAGAAAAGTGAAAAGAGGGTCAATAAGGATGTTTCATATCCAGTTTTTGATTCATTTGATTAGTGAGTTGACCTAACGTCTTGCTAAAGACGTTAAACACTAGTATTCGTAGAGTTTCACAACTCTATTCCTCCCTCATTTCTTTTTATTTTTCATTCTTGTGTACATTCTTCCATCTATTTTTCAAATTTTCATTCTTGTTACCATCATTGGGGCTTAGCATAGGATTTTCTGCACTTTCAGTTCAAAATTAGGCATTTGGTGCCAATTCGATCGATCACAAGAGCACTTTCGATCGATCGAATTGTTCTTCGGTCGATCCAACTATGGATTCGATCGATCGAACTCCACTTGAGTCCCAACACTTAGAAAAATTTTGGACCTGCATCCAAATTCCAAAATGCATGCTCTCGGGATCTCCAAATTTTTGAAAGTTCAATCGATCGTAAACCATTTCGATCGATCGAACTATCTTTCGATCGATCCAACATGTGGTTCGATCGATCATGAGTCCCAACACTTAGAAAAAATTTCAGGCCTCATCCATTTTTCAAAAATGTATGCTCTCGGGACTTTTCAAAATTTTACATGTTCGATCGATCGAATTTCATCTCAGATCGATCACAGTTATGTTCGATCGATCGAACTTCATCTTCGATCGATCACAACTTTGCCCCTTTGACCCTTTCACTTTTTGACTTTTTCCTATTTCTATTTTTATTTTATTTTATTTTATTTTATTTCATTTAGTTACCTCTCTCTCTTGACTAAAAAAAAAAAGAAGTTTTTGGAAATTTGTTAAAAACACAAAAATATTTTTGTTAATTTTATTTTATTTTCAAAAATTCCCAAAAGATTTTTATTTTATTTTCATTTTTACTTTTATTTCCAAGCTTTATTTTTATTTTTATTTCAAATATTTAAAATTAAAAAAAAAAAATCAAATCCCAAAAACATTTTTTCTTTTATTTTATTTTATTTCCTTTTATCTTATTTCCAAAAATCCAAAAATATTTTGTTTAACTTTAATTTTTAATTTCGAAAAAAATATATATATATATATATCTTTGCATTCTTTATTTCCTTACATTTTTACTTCTTGCATTTGTATTTTTATTTTTATTCACTTGTCTTTTTATTTTTGTTTGTGTACATATTTGTTTTGTCTAAAAAAAATAAAAATAAAAAAAAGACGGTTTTTCAAAGAAGCATTCAGTTTTGCTAGAGACGTTAAACTTAGCACCCATTTTGCATATTTCTTACATTTTTCATTTTTCTTTGCATGTTTTCACATATATATTAAAAAAAAAAAAAAAAAAAAAAAAAAAAAAAAAAAGGATGAAAAACAAAAAGTAAGAAAATTTTGTATATACTTGCATTGTACATATTCTTTCCATTTTTTTTGCATTGTACATGTTCCTTTTCATTTCTTGCATTGCACATATTGTTTTTTATTTCTTACATTGAACATATTCTTTCATTACATTTTGCCTTATTTAATTTTCTTTTTTATATTTTGTTCATGCATTTTATTCTTTGTTTTTCTTGCATTTTGTATATACTTGCTTTCATTAAATGAAAAATATAAAAAGATTCATCATTGTGCCCTTATGTGTAGTCATGCATACTTTATACTTTAGTTAGGGCTTGATCTTATATCTCTCTTGCATCATATGTTACATTGCCTTAGAATGCTTGATTTGATTATTCTTATCCCATTTGATATTTGATGTGAGTTTGCTAACGTGGTTATTCAAGTAGGTTGTTGATTCTAAGTTTGGGGGAGACGTCTTTCGAATTGGATCATGACCGGGCTTCATGTCTACACCACCACGGTATACTCTTTCCACTTTTTTTCCATTGTTCTCATTGCACATTGAGGACAATGTGCGGTTTAAGTTTGGGGGTAAGGTGTCTTGTTGCATTCTACTTAAGATTTGAGCTTTAAATGCATGATTGAGATTTGAGATTGATGTTAGCTATGATTTTGATCTTTTGAGGACTATATTGCTTAAAATTTAAAAATTGCTTGACTTGAGAGTCCAATACTCCTTGTATGCCTTGAGGATGCCATTTAGGAGTAAATTTTTCAAAAGATTGATATCTTGCTTCCATTTGTGGTCCACATCATCCTGAATTTGTGATTGTTTTGAGATTCATTCTAAGATTCTACACTAGCACCGGTGCACACTAGCATTCATTTGTGGGGTACATGCTTTGTTGATTATTGAATTGGTTATATCCCAATTGGGCTAGTAGTGCATTGAAAGCTTTTATTCTTGATAAAGGTGGATAACAACCCCTTTTCATTGAGTAGTCGAGATTCTTGCCTCATTAAGCAGTGAACTTCTCGCGCCAAAAGGTGGAGGGCCCAAACTCTAGGTTAATAATTGATTATTTAAAAAAAAAAAAAAAAAGTTGCAAAAGTAATAAAAGTGAGGACTTCTCCCAAAAGGTGAGAAGTAGGAAATGATTAGATGGTTGTTGTCTTGATTTGTAGCCTAGTTGATTTGAGTTTGTAAGTCCGTAGGGGTGTCTTAATACCTAATGCCCAAAAGCCATCTGGTTTGGGAGTCATTGACCTAAAGCTCGCTACATGAATCTTCTAGAAAGCTTAAGAGATCAACAAATTGCACAATACTTCCATCTTTGATCCTCAATAAAAAATAAAATAAAATTTGAGTGAAAAGAATAAGCGCACCTAGAACAATAAAGCTTTAATAAAAGGTTCACTCTCTTATCTTGATGATTGGTACTAGATTTGTGTGCTAGTTTGAGGGTAAGGATGTGATTACTTCTCTAGTTGGCTAAGATAGCAACACACTTGATGCCGGACCTCTCACATGGATTCTAGACTTGTTTCGATTTTCATGATCATTTTCTTGATATGTGGAGGACCATACTTGCTTGCTTGATATTGAGATTTTGGGAGATTGCTTAGAAACGGTTGAAAAATTGCATACTTGAGGTAGTTTTCTCCCAATGCTTGTTTGCAATATTGGTGCCTCTTTTGAAAGAATGAGCTTAATGTTTGTGGATACCATTTCTGGAAACCCTCACGAGACTTTACTCGTCCACTAGGGGTAACCTAGGGGTTTAAAAGGCTTGTTGCATATGCTAAATGCAATCGTGTTCCCTACGAAAATGGTGTTATCATTTTACTTGCTTTCCAGTTTATACTTGTTTAGTTGTTCATTTCATTCCTTTACTTCTTAGTTCATTGCTAGAGACTAGCAATATTTAAGTTTGGGGGTGTGATGAGCGCTGAAAAGTGCGCATTTAAACCCGTTAAGCTTAAGCATTCTAGTACCTTTATCGATCTTACTTTGCTGTTTTAGACTTATTACGTGTTATTTATATTTTCAGGCACTAATCCCAAAATTGAGCTAACTTAGCCAAATAAGAGCTTAATTGAAGCAATCTTGAGATAAACCAAAGGAGGGAGCAAAGTGGAGAAAGAAATGAGCAAAAAGGAATTAAGTTGTGCAACTGAAAAGTTCGATCGATCGAACATCTATGATCGATCACAGTACTTCTCGATAGATCCAACCTTGGCCTTTGCTGAAATTCCAAGTTCGATCGATCAAACATCACCTTTGATCGATCGAACCCTATTTTGTCCTATTCAAATGATTGATCTTATCCAAAGCTGTACGCCTACCAACCACTTTTGTCCTTTTCCCCATAAATATCTTCGAAATATCTCAGCCTTGTCTTTATCCGGAGGAGTCAGACCACTTCGATCGATCCAAGATGCAGTTCGATCGATCGAACCCATCTTCGATCGATCCAAGTTAAGGTTCGATCGATCGAACTTCCTCCAGCGAGAAAAAGTTAAAATCCAGCTCATTTATTCCGTCCTTCACCCAATCATTGGGGAATATGCCTTGCACGACCACAGCTTATCATAGGGTGTATTTGACCTACCTATATAAGGAATATGATACACTTTTTGGAGAGGAGTCTAGAGTCTCTTGTCACACATTGAAAATCATCTTGGAGACTATTCTTGGAGAGGAAGAAGGGAGGAAGCTAGAGCACCATTGGAGGAGATCTTCACCAACAAGGAGCAGCCATGGAGTTAGCCCTTGAGGGTTATATCATCACTACCATGAGTGTCTAGACATCCTCTTGGGGCTAGAGTTAGCCCCAAGCATGCTTTCTATACTCTAATCTTGTGTATTATTGAGGGATTAGTGTTGTATGATATATCTTGATATTCATGTATATATAAATCTTGATTATTTCATGGTTTGTATGGTTTAATGCTTCCAATTGACTATTCTATTCTATCCATATGTCTATGTATGCTAGAGTAGGATATTCATGTGCTTATCTCTAGATTTAGTGTTTTTGATGCATGTCTATGTGTATTGATGCTATAGATCTAGAGATTATCAAGATGATATGCTTAATGAATGCTATTTTGGTTCATTTGATGGTTTATGCCTATTCTTGATGGTTTGTGCCTCTCCCCTAGTCTAGATAGCTTTATTTTCATGTTAGTCGTGTAGATTTAGTGTAGTGGTAGTGTAATATTAGATGGGAGGACAATCTACTCTTGATGTTTGATGTTCCATGCTTGTGAGTCCAAATGGCATATTCCTCTAATATTGTGTTGTATGTGGATTTTGAGCTTAATGAAGGATTAATGACTAGTTATGATATGTTGTATCTTTCACATGTGTTTAGACAATTTATTCATCTCCCAATAGATATTTTGTACCTCTCACATGATGTTTAGATAATGCATGTTTAACTAA